GACATTACAGTGGCGACGAACCTGACAAAAATCTCGCACGGATCTGGAGGTTTTCGCTACATCCGTCGGGGACATAATTTACCTTTTCTGACATGTCGGTTGCTGTCTTTAGATAATCATGTATCACGTCGCACGCAGCACCAGGAGACTTCATGTCGCTACCACACAGTGGCATAATCGCGTTGACATCGCGCAACCATGTTGTTTGGAGATCCTACTAGGCCGTTTGTGACATCAAAGTCATCTTGCAATACATACTTACTAGGCTCCAGGCTCCGCTCACTTCCGAATCAACTGTCAACTAGGCGGCCGGAAAGAAAGTTGAAGTTTGGCTCATTGGGCGCCAGTGCTGGTAAGCCTCAGGCGGCTATCAATTTCAAGCCTTTCCACTCACTTCCAAGGGCAACTGACTCGGAAGCCCAACATCGGACTCGATCACTGGGCTAGTGCTCGGAGCCTGAGCCCACGTTGGATAGCTTCAACGACTTTAAGTTGGGATCTCGACACTTGTGCGGGCAGTTGAACTCTCGGTGTCCAATTGAAGTTCCCAGTCTATGGCGGCTCGTTCAACCAGTAGCCTGAGCCTCCGAGTCCGAGTCGCGTTTATTACTATCGCATTCTGCCTACTACTAGTCATCACTCCGAGTCTCAATTCGGATCTCACTGTTCAAGCTGGCACATTCGACTTACAACTACGAGTACCGTCTATTATCAGCACCATCAACTTACAACCCAAGCCATACTCAGGCTGGTCTGAGTCACTGCCAGACTCCCCCTCGATATTTCCAGTGACTTCGGGCATTATGCCTCTTCGGCGCCACACCCGATTGAACGTTGGACTTGGCGTCGCCCTGACCTACACACAAACATATTTATAAAAGACGTGGACGAAAGTAATGGACACACGCCGCATGGCAGCCCCACGAGCACACTTAAGTGCTGCTTCTAGGCTCCACACATAAAATTTTGTATCCAGTCCGGGGATAGTACTGGCAAAGTGTTGTCCATCAGAGGACATGGCAACAACCAAGACCTGGTCGTCGTGCCTGAGTCGGACTCCGACTTGCCGGTAAGTTTTGAGGTCCCAGATGCGAACTGAATAGTCATTTAATGCGTTAAGATAGCGTTCACCAGGAGACAGACAAAGGGATATGACGGATTCGGTATGACCCTGAATAATGAGTTCTTCCCGTCAATCGATTGCCATTTTGGATGGTGGAGTCAGAGATATATGCGTCATCCTTGGACTAACATAACGATAACGTCCAGTTGTCATGTCCCTTGATCTTAAGGAGCAGCTCGCTGTCCTTTGACCACATGCAGATCATAGTGCCCTGACCGCCACTGGCGCACTTATCGCATTGCGGAGAACATTTGATTATTTTCACCCATTCTTTGCCTCTTCTTATGGGTGGTAGCCAGCGGTCGCGTTCCACCGTCGTATAGTGCTGTCTTTTAATTCACTTGCTGCCTCCTTGCCCTTTGGTGACCAATCGAAGCACTCTACTCCATGACTATTCCCCTCCCACGACCTACTAAGCTCCCCTCCTTTATGTCCCACTGCAGCCGTACGGTCAGCACGTACAGCGAATCAACAAAATGCTATATTCCCCGTGCTCTAACACGATCGACAAAGACCCGGAACGAATCGACGTCGTTGTACGACGAATTTATTGCCACTCCGGAAATTGGGGATATCTGTGTCGATGTCTTTACATTCGGTGCCAACACTGCTTCTGCTGAAGACGGAATCTATCTATTAGATACACGAACGACCATTGGCCCTATCGTAGATGATGAAAGAAATCCTGCGCACTCCCTTCTAACGATGTATTGTGACCTCTTTTGTTTTCGTCTTTTTGCTCGTTATCTATCAAAATCACAATTCAAGGGCACATCTTCAATACTTGTCATATGTGAAGCCACGTGTGACGTTGGATTATTCGATGATCAAAACGAAGGTCACCTTGCACTCCGAGAAGCCGTGGATTCCCTTCGCACACCAGCTCAATTACGAATTATGTTCTCACAGATCGTACTTGAAGGTTATGCAACTAGTATGTCACTGTGGATAGAATTTTGGGAGATGCTATCCATTGACCACATTCAGGGGCTCGGACACGAAACCAATGGTCATGAATTCTCGCTGCAAATCATCGATGATCTGCTCTCTCATTCTGCAAGACACCTTCGAAGTCTACAATGAACAAAGTTACCTGCGCGACAACCAAGCTGCATTTGAAGTTCAAAGCGATAACATGGGTCAACGACTGAAGGCTGAACAATAGCATGTTCTCGACTGCATTGTAGAGAGAGCGTGGTCCAGCACAGAGACAACTTCTTTTTCGTCGAGGGACGTCCAGGTAGGTCGAGGGTGAGAACGCGAAGAGACACTGTGTCTATTTGCGGAGACAAATGAAGGATTGTCCAAGACTGTACAAATATTGTATTTCGTGACCTACCACTGTAAACACGATTGATTGGAAAAAAAGACGACCGAAGGCGTGTCTTTGTTATATGTCAAAAACCAGGCAATAATAAGTCACGATTGGTAAATGGAGAGGAGAATCGTACGTGCCTCGATAACTCAAGAAAGAATAACGAGCGGGTGATCAAAAAAAATACGCGGGATCTGGAGGAAAAATAATGGGTGACTATCCATAGGCCTGAATAATGCGGTTTGGAATAGAATATAATAAAAAATACCATTTAAGGAAACCCTGCCGCGATGCCGCTGTTCATTTAGGACGACTTTCCCGCACATTATTTTCTTCACCCTCTTACAAACTCTAAATCTGTAGGGGGGCCCCCCTTACAGATTATAACTGACGGATTATTCCGTTTTGGGGCCCTTGCTATCTGCTTACTCATCGCTTAGTAATCTACATCTGAGGTCCCCATCTCGCGCATCTCCTCCATAGCGATAGTTGTTGCCTCGTTCCACCATCTTGCAATATACAGGAACCACTACGGCCCAATTCTTAAGCTCCCTTGTGAAGTTTTACATTGAAGTTTTAAGATGAATGAACCACGGTGTCCATCACGTGATTATTAAAAGTTCCACACCGCATATAACTTGCCCTGGATGTGGCCGTGCACGACTTATTTTATTCAAAGTGCGTTACGGTTTGGTTTTCTGTATGGATTATCTTGGGCAGATATGTTTCAAGGTCCGTCATAATCTATTCTACATTATTTGGCCTACGGATAGTCACCCAATATGAGACGGGTGTGTAGTAAGGATTGAACATCCTCTTTAGGCGCTCAAAGCTGTCCACGTGACTCGCCGCACTCTTCGTATCCGAGCTATGGAAAAATTGGTCATGGGAAGGGGAGGCTCGCCGCAGGCGAGCCGAGGAGCTTGGAAGGGGTCGGCGCTCGGAAGTCGGAAAACCATCCCAGGGGGAGGACTCTGGAGTACCGAAACCTCGCTACTTTGTCCATTGGCTTTCGGCCCAATGATTTTATATACAGGTAAAGACGATCTCCCAATGATACAGCTTATGTTTGACGTCAGATTCAGACGGCAGCGTTCGATATTCCCGGCACAATTGACATTGAACGCCCACCCACGCGCAAACATTGATATTACTACACGGTTCCCAATGGAATTCATAACGGTTCGTGTTCCTTGACTCAGACCCTAGCTAGTGTGACCTAATTTAACCCTTTAGCCCGTCTAATTTTAACGGTGAGAACACGCTTCTTCCTGCAGGTTGGTTACACCCTGGATTATATATATTTCTCTCTAACATCGCGGTAAGGCTACTACACCATTCTTGCGCCGGATACCAACATTATTTTATCTTCCTTAGGCCCGTTGTCCACTACCAGCTCTGGTGGGCTACTTTGTGCTGCTCGCACTGCATCACTGCCAATGCCACCCTTGAACATCGAGGTGGGTTTTACTACTATTCTTATGCTGGATACCAACATTATTTTATCTTCCTTAGGACCGTCTTCCTACTCCCATTCACCTCACACGTCCGCTCGCACTCAGCTTCACCACTCTCGCGCTGGATACCAACATTATCTTATCTTCCTTACTCCTCACCACTCTCGCGCTGGATACCAACATTATCTTATCTTCCTTACTCACCACTCTCGCGCTGGATACCAACATCATCTTATCTTCCTTACTCCTCGCGCTGGATACCAACATTATTTTACCTTCCTTACCTCTCACGCTGGACACCAACATCATCTTATCTTCCTTACTACAATATGGTGCGTCATTATTTCACTCGTCCTCTTCTTTGACATCCTTGTCCTTGTTCTTTTCTCATTCTTGTCCTCAGTCTTGTCCTCGCCGTCTTCTTTTTTCTCCTCATCTTCCTCTTCCTCATCTTCTTCGTCCTCTCCATCCTCACCATCACTGTCCGGCATCACCTGCCTGTTGATTTTTGACACAGCGCACTTCACAGCAGCAACCCGCATGGCCTTCGCAATATCTTCCGCCTGCTTGAAGGTGCTCGAGTGTTTGTACACGTCTTGTATCATGCTTGGCTGGAAGCCTGAGCGGTTTGCAAGTCTCTCCACCTTTGCTTCAAAGCCGAACTGCGCGAACTGCGCAATATCTGCAGTGTGGATTTGAGGGTCTATGTGAGGGACCCTGGCATTGGCCTCTGGGCTGCCGTTGGTGGTGACGGCTCTCTCGTTATTTTCAATTTTGTTTGTCTGGCCATTGCAGGTGCCCATTTCCCCAAAAGCAGACTTGAGGGTGTGCAAGTGTGGTGTCATTGAGTATATTACTGTGTACTGTAGCTTTCATTAGCCTGAATTTGCTTCCCTGAATGAATATGGCTAGGAAATTTGAATGTTCTCAACCCACCAATCGGAAATAAAACCAACGGCGACTTGGTGCGGCAGTTAAACCAAATATTGAATAATGCTAGCGTGGTGGTAATGGTAGTTCAAAGTAAAACAGTCCCGACCCCTAAAACACATTTTTGTTCCCATTTCCCGCCACCCGAGTACACACACTGACTTCACCATCATACATGTCTGTCTTCGAACCGAAGACAGTCCTCACTCTTCTCAAGACTTCGACTGCTGTCTCCCCTCTCGAGAAAAACACCTTTGAAAAAAAATGGAGGGTTAGCGTGAGTGTCTCGGCAGCTTGAAGCACACTCGTTACACACAATTTAATGCCTTTACTGACCAAAAAAAAGGTAGAGAAACGAGTCAGTACATGGAACGAGGCACGCAGCCATATGAACAACCCACGTCCGCAGTTCCAGCTACAGTGGGAGTCCGAGATCGTTGAGTACGTCCAGTTCCTGTGGGAGAAGACACGAACACGGTCAAAGAAAGGCGAGCCCAGCAAGCTAGGAGTGAACGTCCCGTTGCTCGGGCCACGGTTTTTACCTCCGTCTTACCTGCATGTCCAGAAGCGCTCTGGAGGTGGAGCCATCGAGCCGACAACGCAATACCTCAAACCGCTCAACATCGTGCATCCGTTCTACTACCCACAGCTTGGACAATGTCCAAGATGTGGGTCCGACAAGGATACGGCTTGGGAAGGCTGGACGAGTAAAGGAGCTCGAGAGCTCCATGGGCTGTTCTGTGAAGAAGCAGCTCTGGGCACACAGCTCAGATGCAACCGCTGCAAGGAATCGTCGAAGGCGAAGACCAGAGGGGACACTGCCAGTGGTATGGTGGCTGGCATTGAGGGATACTGCTTCGCAACGACGAGTGCGATGTACTGGAAAGGCTGGGAGCATTGGAGAATCCCACGTGAGTCCCGCGCACAGCAGGTCGTCAGTGATCTGACGTATTCGACTGCGGCAGGTGGCTTACCTATATTTTTCTACCGCTGCGCATTGACACGCGACCTCTTTGACCTCCTCATCGAGTTACGGCCATCGTCGACCTCTGCAGGTCTCGAAGAACGTGTTAGGCGTGAGTACTGAGGTCCATTGTGATGGCCACATACCTGACTTAATACACTCACGCAGAACTCCATCTCTTCGAGCACAAGCGCAGGATGTTGGAGTACCTTGAGGCTGTCAGAGCTCGCGAATGCCAGAACGACTCGAAGAACTCACTCGGAAACTACTTCAACAGTGGTGTGACTTCGGGAACGTGCCTTCAAGCGTTTTCGGCACCCGATGACGCACTTGGCTACAGCGACAAATCAGTCTCTCGCGATACGATAACCGAGGTATTCATTGAATTTTCGACTCACACAAGGCAGATCGAGAGTGCGAACTACTTGAAGTCGCTATCAGGTAAGTCCAGCACTCGGATATTCCCTCACACAGCACTAAGTAGTGTTTGTCAGCAATATGTGCTTCTCTGGACAACACATTCAAAGCCGCAAACAAGGCGACACTTACCAACAAGGACGGCCAGAAGACGAAGGAAATCAAGGGCGGTATTCTCACTGTCTTGAACGAGGGCAATGAGATTATTTCCTGGGTAAGTACTGAGTCACTTTGACACATGGTACCCACACTGATCTGAATTTCTCACCAGAGGTTCTGTCAGACGCGCACTAACGCAGAGATCGCAGAGCTCCTGCTAGGCCTCAAGCATCGCCATGACGTCCTTGGTCTCCCACAGCCGAAAATGATGGTCGCCGACAACTGCTGTCACATTCGTGGCGCAGTGGCATCCGCCATGCCTGAGACAGAAGCGAAGCTGGACGTGTGGCATTTCAGTGCCAGGTAAGTAACTTCAGCATGAGGAGCCATTACTCTGGCTAACGGGAACCTCACCCACAAAGATATGTTGCTGCAATACTGAACGCAAGCAAGAGTCCATTTCGCAGTGCTATTGCTGCCGATATCTCAGGTGCAATCCTCAAGATGCACGCAGAACATGGACGTCCAGCAGAATACTGGGATCGCGGAGAACAAGAGCAGCGCCTTCTTGCAGCTTTTGAAAAGTGGGCTGAGAAAGGTGTGTGGTCAGCAGCGGCTCAGAAGGTAAGTCTGTCTGCTTCATCACGAGCAAAAATTGAGTCTCACACCATCTTTTTTTGCTAGGTACATCAAGAACAACTCAAACATGTCCGAAAAGGGTGTCTCGAGCGCTCGGATCAACACCTCAGGTCTGACGGCAGCCGTGTTGAAGGCACGCACAAAGGCTGGAACTCGTTGCAGCGCGCCCAACCAAGTGGGATTGTGATGCTGACTGCACTCGGTCACGACTTCGTCCTCCGTCGCAACATTCGGGTCGCCTTCAGTAGGCGTCAAATGACGCCCTTTGTCGAATTCACCCATGGCTCCCACCACATCCAACTATCTAACCACGTCGCAAAACTCTACAACAGACTGCGCGAGAAGGGCACACAGCTGCTTCCTCTCCTACCAGAACTCCCAGATGTCGACTCTGGCGAGACTTTTGGACTGGTTGCATCGGACAACGCAACCACATTTGGTGGGTTGCTCATCAAGGAAGAGACTCTGGACGCCGAACTCGCGCACAACTTCGAGGTTCACACTGATAGCTTCACTGGCGGGACTGTAGACTTTGCGACTGAAGCCAGCCGCAGCATCATGATTGAGGACTGGCAGATTGATCCCGCACTCCTTGATCAGCCTGCTGCACAGCTGCCGCGCACTATGGTGAGTGGGGCATCACCCATTTTTTCGTTGTTTACTGACAAACTTTTCTAGACGGCTTCTAACACTAACACTCTCCCTGCCGAAGTCGCACCTCCCTCCCTCATCAAACGCAAGGCCATTTGCATCTCGCCCAACTCCGACGACAAGTCAAATGGCGGGTCCGCCACTACAAAACGACCTCGGACTCTGGGTCCAGCCAGCACCAAGACACTTGATGGCTACTTTGCCTCAGGCCGTCTTCTGACATGGCATGGAGAGCCTCCCAGTACTGCCGCAGGAGAGGTATGTTTGTTCTCACCCCCAACCAACGCTACACCCGAAAACTGACGTCCTGGATTCTCGCAGGTCACCAGTCCGTTCTCGCCCCCGACCAATGATACACACCCAAAGGTACGTCCGTTCTCGCCCCTGACCAACGATACACCCGAAAACTGACGTCCTCCACCCCCGACCAACACTACACCCGAAAACTGGACGTCCTCGCCCCCAACCAACGATACACCCGAAAACTGGATGTCCTCCCTCACCCCCGACCAACGATACACCCGAAAACTTCCTCCCTCACCCCCAACCAACGATACACTGCAGGCTGCCAGTGCTCAGGCTGGCAACAACAACCCGCCAATCACCCCCGACCAACGATACACGGGCATCAATGAGGCAGGCCAGACCCGGTCCCAGCGCCTGTTCTCCATCGCAACGGGTATCGATCCTCGCTCACTCACCTTCCAAAATTCGGACGAGTTCTACCTGTTTATGAACATGCGAGCCGAGTTCAAGTGGCTGTCATACCAAATGACTTCGAAGCGCTGGGTGCTGGCAACGGAGGAGTACAATCACCGTCTCGTCGAGACAATGGGCCAGTCCATCATCCAGAAGAACCCACAGGCCCTCCTGCGCGCACTGGGTGATATTGAGCCCAAACTGATGAACCGCATCATCAAAGACGAGTATACCTGTGAGTCACTCAGTTTTTGCGTTCACTCTGTGTTTTTCTGACATCTATATCACAGCAAAGAGGAACAACGAGACATTCTGGCGCCATCATTGTTCTGTTGTGCCCCTCGTCAAGGAAGAGCGAGGGAAAAAGGTCAGTCCCCAGTCCAAGCCCTTGCTCACTGTTCACAATGCTGAACTTGCTTTTTTTTTAGCCTCGAAAGGCGCAGACGTGCTCGCGCTGCCAAACCATCATGTACCCTGGCCCCGAAAACTCGCCACTCAACCACAAGCGGGGCTACTGCGCTGACGGTGTCAAGCAGGTGTTGAAGAGCGGCGAAGACCTCCCTCCCTGGCCTCAGCCTCAAGGGCTGTTCTCCGAAGGTCGCACATTTCACCCACACGCGTTTTTGTTGGCTGTTCAGCGCGTCTACGAGCGCGTCTTCATGCAGGGACCGGGAGAGATGGACTTGCTTGAAACGGAGGCCTTCGCGAAGCTGCTTGCATCGCGCACTGAGATCCGCGAGGATGGTGCAGTGCTTTTCCAACTGTTCACCAACTTTGTCGTTGACCCATCCACCCCCCGCGAGCGCATCGTCACCCACAACGACAAGCAGTGGCTCAGGATTAATTTCCTCCAGCAGCAGCAGCTGTAGAAGTCGAGATATAATTTTTCCCCCCGCTATATGATAGTTTACTACAGTCCCAGTCTTTCCCCCTCGTCTTCCAACTAATGTTTTTCCGAGTTTTGGGACCCGTTCTAAGGTCTATGAGGGCTGGGGGTAGGTATGTTCTCATTTCATTCACTCGTTGCTCGTCGTCCCCGCCGTCGCGTCGCCGTTTGCCTTTGTCGCCTAGGGCAAAATTGAACCGGTCACGTGACGTCGAAACTCACGTGCTTTCGAAAAGGTCTGAACGGTCCTGCGGTGTTTGAAAAACGGTCAGACCGTTTGTAAGCCTCCCCTTCCCATGGCGCAGCTGCCGAGCTATATGCCGCTTTCCAATTTTTTTTCATTAAACTTACCTTGTGCTCTCAACGCCACTCCCCTGATCTGCGTCCATTGTCTCATAATCGTTCGGTCTAGCTATACTTACCCGAGGACCCTTACCGTTTCGCGCTTATATATGTACAGCCCAATATGTACTCTTATACGGACAGCGAATTATATCCAGTTTCCCGCTCCAAAGTACCACAGAAGCCGTCTAAACGTGTCCAACGTCTCATCACTAGTCGAAACATAGTACTATCCTTTTCCTCTTGTCTTGTACTAAACCCAACTTCGATCACTTTCCCCTTCGAACTCACTAAGCAGCCTTATATATCGGAGCCCACCGCGAGGGGATTGTTTTGAACACCCCTTTTGCACCCCGAGTTTGATTCGTTGATCTACTACTGATCTTCTAGTCTTTCTCTCTAGTACACGGTCATTAGACCCTTTATTCTCGCCAATTCCAAACCTCAGCAGCCTCTTGAATCCAGCTCAGAAGACATACATAGTATCTGATCCTCGCTTTCGTTAAACGAACCTACCATCACCGTCGCATCTCACTCGCACCACTCCTTCCCTACCTTGCCCGCGCAGCCACAGCCGTTTAATCTCACTCCGCGCTTCTTTCCCAAACGAACGTCTGTTTCATCTCAACCTCTCCCTGTGAACGTCACACATCACACAAATATCTACTTGTCAATCACGCCACCCATGTCGAACGCAAACAAAGGAATTTTGGCAATGCCTGGCCCTAGATCTAACAAGGCGCCTTCGTTTGACGGCGAAGCGTCCGAGCTTATCGAGTTTCTTGAATTCTTCGAGGACCTAGCCTCCTCCTGTGCACTCACGGACGAACAGAAGTGCAGGACTATCATTCGTTATACGGACATTCTCACCAAACGACTCTGGGTCACGCTAACGGGATATGAAAGTAGGAATTATGGCATTTTCAAACAGAGCATTCTGGCAATGTATTCTCGAGCTGAACTGGACATACGCTATACGATCCAGGACTTGGAAGATGTCGTTCTCAGTGCAGCAGACTCGGACATATCCACGGAAACAAAACTCCTCCAGTATTATCGTCAATTTCGTCCCATTGCCATCTGGTTAGAAGCCAACTCAAAGATCTTTATTCACGAGCGCAATCAGTACTTTTGGCAAAGCCTACCCCGCTCCGCACGAAGAGCTATTGACCGACATCTTGAGCTTACAGAAGCAAACTACACGAGGGACGAAGCACCTGATTTTGAGAAAGTTTTGGAGGCTGGGCGATTTGTATTTTCGGATGATGCGTTCAATGATGATCTAAATGGCGAACCCATTGCTAGCCGCTTCAAATCAAAATGCGATTCTCGTGGATCAAGGCCGAAGCCATCGCATCAGAATTGGGATTCAGACGAAGAAGATGAGAGAGACGTACGACGAGAAGTACAAACCAAGCGCGTCGCATTCACTCCTCCCCCTGCACCTGTCAAATCTACCATGGACGAAGTCGAGGCACTTGCTCGAGAGATGCATGGTCTTGATATAAGCCATGCCAATTATTCGGCATGTTATACTCGACTCGTTTACCTCGCTCCCATTGCTGCTAGTATCTGGGCCGCTCCTTGCACGCATCAACTTGGCCAATGTGTCCACAGCTACTCCCATATTTGCTCCGCCTCCCCAAACGCAATACAACGAGAACCTGCAGCAAGCGATAGACAGGCATGCTGAGACCCTCGCTTCATCCCCTCCATCGTCGCAGACATCATCAGCAACCATTTCTTCTAGTGCTTTCATATTCGAAAGTTATGTGAGGATACCATATCCTCTACGCCCCGACCATTAAGAACGTTCGAAACGGTTCATCTGTCCGAACCATCCACGTGACTCATTGATGCGAAGAAGCACCACGCTTCGCATCCGAGTCACGCGGCATTCCTTCTCCCTCACCTTCATTATCTCACTATCGTCGACAGCCAGCATGGTCTCTTATTCCTTCTTACATGATACCTTCGTTTATATCGACTCTCAAACACACTCTCGTTACTGTTTCCCCATTCTCCCTTCACCGTACCGAAAACTGTCAAAACCGCTATGCGATTCTCGTCACTCTGTCCAAACCGAACCCTTTCGTACGCCACTCATTCACTGTCTCGTATTTTCTCGCTCTCACTAGCACAACCTGTCAGGATTCAACGCCACTTACTCTGCCTCCGTTTTCACCTAATCATTCGCCCTAGCCATACCCGAGGACCCTTACGGTTCGCGACTATAACTAGCCCATGTACATTTGATATCTACAGCGAGTTTCCCGCTCCAAAGCACCTCAGAAGTTGTCTAGAACGTATACAACATCTCATCACTCGTCTAAACACTGACTTCGTCTCGTATCTAACCTAGCTCCGTTCACTTTCCACTTAGCAGCCTTATAGGTAACAAGGTTGAGAATATCTGTTAAGAAGTGAGTCATTCACTGATGGATCACACCAACAAGTACGGGTCCAATCTCTTCACAGCCTGACAAGTGGTCTTTCCACATCACCTTTTCCTTTGAACTTCCAGGCCATCATGATTGGTGCCCAAATACCTCTGGCTCTCAAAATTCCAATCATAGTTGGCGCGCACCCAGTTTCCAAAGCCATTGCAGTACTGCGAGTCGATGGGCTCTCCCCATTTTGGAAAATCTGCTATGGCCTCCTTCTCGAATTTTATATGGTGATCCGCCACCCATAACATGGCGCCATCGACATCCGTATCAAGCACGTGCATGATAACCGTTACTATATTGTGACTGCAATCTCCACGTGCTTGCTCTGATGTAATGTCCTATAATATCGTGCAATTTTGATGAGTGTCATTTGTGATATGGTCGTAGACACTACTAACATTGGCGAGAATGATCATGTTAGTGGATGCGAACATCATATCCGGGTGCGAAATTACTTCATCTGGGATATCGAAGCTTAGCTCTAAGAGGGCGAATGCAGGCCATGCGTGGCGCACGTCAAAATATCTCTCGATGTCAATAGCTTGTTGCACTACGCCCTCTAGATAGTCATCGAACGCCACGATGAATCGCTTCTGCGATTGACCACTAGCGTTACGTATAGTACGTTCCCAGAATCTGTCGGTGTGACCTGATGTTGAATATTAGATAGCAAATCACTCACTGGCGAGCGACTGCTCCGCCGACCCACTCTCCTTTGGGACGTGATGGCGCAGAGCATCCATTACGACATCATTTTGTTAACGGACCTCGAGACATCTGAGTATTCATCTATGACAGATACAAGATTCATGAAATCGCACGCGCTGCGAACGTGTTCTGTATGAACTCCTCAGTAAGTCCTCGGCTTGTATTTTATAAGGCTTACCTTCAGTTGCGATTGGGTAGGATAAACAACTAAGAAGACGACGTGAGTATATTGTCATGCTTACTATGAGCCATGTCTTACTGCGATCGAAGGCTTGGTGTGCTTTGGGGCTAAAGCCTGCAAGCCAAGAAAGTGATTCAGCACAGACTTTGGAGTGAGACGACGGGGAAATGGCCATCTTGCGAAAAAGTCAGGTATGAAGATTTTTTCAGCGGTTGGTCGCATTCATTACCAGCATTGACGGTCACCAATCCCCCAGCAATTTGTTTCTGTAAGCAATTAAATGTAGTCGGAGTGTTCGCTGGCGCATTCATTAGAGTCTGCCCAGCTTCTTTGAGGTTGTCTGAACTACAACAAGATTCTGCATTACTTTAATATTGTAGATGTAGATGCGGTTAGGTCGGTATGTAATTATGAACAGGTTTGTTCTATCGACATCTATGAGGTCAGCATGTACAGCGAATCAATAAAATTAATATTCCCCGTGCTCTAACACGATCGACAAAGATCTGGAACGAATTGACGTTGTTGTGCTCTAACACAACTCGTCCGGCGTCGTCTGTCTTCCCTCCTTGATGCTCAAAGTAAGCTCGTCGTCATCTCTTGTCTTGAGGGAACGGAGATGCGACTCAGAGAGGTCCTCCAGTACGATCAGGGCACTTTCAGCACCTGAAATAGTCGTAGCGAGAGGGTCACGAACGCGCTTCCTAGGCAGTGATCCGACAGTTACGATGGACCCCGGAGTCGAATTATCTTCTGCACTCAAACGGAAGAAGAAGGCGACGACGACGCTCAAATTAGCGACAATTACAGACACGAAAGCCTAAAGCATGATCAGCAGCCCTCGAGGTCTATACGCTGATACCGTACCTCGACTACACCAGCCATGACCTCCTTTGTCCCTCCATTAGAGAAGATGTAATATACATGGGCGAGACTGACAATCGTAGTTATCATCGATGCAGAGAAGACGGCTAGTACCCGGATTTTTTGCGGGCTCGACGATCTGATTCCGTAAATGAGGGAGAATGGAGCGAAGATGAGGACAGTGTCTCCTAGAACGCCGGCTGAAATACTACGTCAGAAGACCGATTTATTCGATGAACAATAAACCCTCACTGATTATCTGCGCTATTGCAACACTTCTGCCGAGATCGCATTGCGGATGTGGTTGTATTTTCCAGCCGGACTCGGTTTCACAAACCCACAACAATTGTAAAGAAAGTAGAGCCCATACAACGCCGAAGGTAATGGCAGTGGATATGAGAGCCTTCCTGATAGAAGTTCCCGGGACTGTGAGTCGCA